ACATTTCACGCAATACTTTTGCTGGAGTGAGCTCTTCCTTCTTGTCTGGCACATTGTGAATGGTATTATCATTCTGATGTGTTGAACTCATAACTTGTTGAACTAAATAGGTGGCCCGATACGCTACCTTTGCGCAAAGTGCTGCAAATGTCAGATAGGAAGGAAGTACCTGGTGGTTTGAAGGTAAGTTACCAAGTAAATGTATTATGCTTATAGCTAGCTAATTATGCAAATCGTTGGAAGTTTCATAACTTTTCCTGGTTTACTTAGGTACGACTTAACTTGTTTCCAACAATGTGGCTGGCTGCCAGCGCCAGTCGCCTTGAAAATGTGGCAGGACAGGAGATCGCATTAGAGCCAGACTCCTCTCATATTTGATTGGTCTAAAAATTGTCTACTTTGAAAAGCCCTAAATGTATTTCACCTTGTGGTCGTACATACCTCTGGAAGTAAAACTCAATCGCTAACCCGAATTTTAAGCTGACTTAAAGTACAAAATCTTTTATCAAAAAACGTTATCCTTAAAAGCGATTCTACTTGGATTGAGTCCGTGGACGTCGATTTGCGGCTACAGACGACGGTGATGCGCAACGCGTATGATGGTGTTCAAAATGCGGTATATTTTTATTCAACTTTTCGGAGATTTTGGAAGTTGGTCGCTTGGACTCGCACATATAAGAACACGGCGCGACATTTTACCCGAAACACCGTCCTGCAGACACTCAAACTCCATCTCATTTCCCTCCGATATGACTTCATGAATGTTGCTGACTTTATCGCGCGAGAGCTCCGAGATATGCACGAAACCACGCTGGCCAACAGATGACTCAAGAATGGCGCCAAAGTCCAAAACCTGCGTAACACGCATAATGTAGCGCTCTCCTTTTCGAAAATACAACAAACGGTCCCTGTTGGACCCTAGACGATTATCGTTGCGGCAACTTTTAGTGTCGTTGTTGCTTTGATTGCTTTGATTGCCTTGGTCACTTCTACGCTGGCCTAAACTGACAAGTTCTGTTTGAAGCCAATGACGAGCTTTTTCAGTGTCAACTGCCGCCCCGACGACACGTACGATGCCTTCACGGCGATCCACAATGCTCATCGAAACGTTAAATTGCGACTCAAGGTTGCGAATGTTACTGCCGCCAACACCAATCAGTGCTCCAATCAAGCTTGTGGGAACTACGCACTCAATACTTACGTTTGGCAATGCACTGCCACCAGATTTCAATGAATCGCGCGGCACCGCGATTTCGTTACTCATGCAACGAAGCACGTGCAGACGAGCATTCCGAGCTTCGCGTAATCCTTCCTTTAATACGAACAGAGGAATGCCCCCCGGAAGCTTAATATCCAATTGAAGGGCTGTCACACCAGACGTCGTACCTGCCACCTTTAAGTCCATGTCACCATAGTGATCCTCGGAGCCTAGAATGTCTGTTAACAACTGATAATTACCGGCCTCTATATTTTTCTCTTGGTCTGCAAACGTGTCACCGGCAGCAACAAGACCGACAGCAATACCTGCGACAGCCCGGCGCACAGGAACACCAGCGTCCATTAAGGCCAGTGAAACGCCACACACTGTAGCCATAGAAGACGAGCCATCCGAGCCCATAACTTCTGAAGTCATGCGTATCGTGTACGGGAACTCTGATATAGACGGCAAAATAGGTAGCACAGCTTTCTCGGCCAATGCGCCGTGTCCAATCATCCGTCGGTTAAATCCACCGACACGACCGATCTCATTCACACAAAAAGGTGGAAACTCATAGTGCAATATAGCGTGTTTGATCGGTGTAAACGCATCAGGCTCTGCCAATTCACGAGCCTCATTTAATGCACCACGAAGACGAATACCACGTTCTAAAGGTCCCAGTGTTACGGAGCACAATGTCTGCGTCTCCCCTCGAGCGAACACAGACGACCCGTGGGCCATCGGAAGTATACCAGCCTCCATTTCAAGCGGACGCACAGTGCGAACCGACCGGCCATCAATTCGTATGGGCTTCTTCTTTTTGAATTCCGACGCAGTACTTAAAATGCGTTCACGCAGCACACATTGAAATGTATCATGGATTGCACGGTGAATAACAACATCGTCCACAGGAAGATTTTTGGAAGCAAAATGTTGATGTAGGCCATTCATCATCTTTCTGAAGATTTCGCGCTCTCCCTCTTGTCGAGCATTTTTACTTACATGGCCTTTCGCGACAAATGCCTCAGCATCCGCGCGCCCAAATTTCTCTGCCATAGCCCATACCTCTTCCGGAATATACATTTGTGTGCAGACGCGCTTTGCCTTTCCATGCTCTAACACCAGCTTTTTTTGGACCTTGATAAGAAATTGAACATTGACGTGGGCCAGATCGAGCGCTTCGTCAAGACGCGCCTCGGCCACTTCGTCACCAGAGGCTTCGACCATTATGGCACGCTCAGTCGTACCTGCATAAAGTACGTCCATCGTAGCTGCTTCGCGCTGCGAGGATGTCGGATTAACCACGAGTTGCCCGTCGACCTCAACTACACGCACACATCCAACAGGACCATTCCAAGGGATGTCGGACATACTCAATACCGCAGACGTCGAGTTGACTGCCACGACCAGCGGATCATTATTGGGGTCGTAAGACTGCACAGTTGCCAGCACCTGCGTTCTCTCGCAATAATCTCGAGGGAACAGCGGTCGAATAGCGCGGTCAATTATACGAGATTGCAAAACCTCCTCATCATTGCCAGTAAACTCCCGGCGTTTTTGGTTGTCTGGAATGAGTCCTACTGCGTACGATTTAACACGGAAGTCCACAGTGAGCGGTAAAAAATCGTTTTGGATAATTCTATTATTGGCTGACGGACTGCACTCGTGACCACCACTTACAACTGTTGTAAGTAGAACGGTACGTCCACATGAAGCTAGCACGGCGCCGTCCGCAAGCCTAGCGACTTTTCCAGTGGCATAAGATGTGACGTCCAAACTGCCGAGTATTTTCTCTTTTTCTTCCACCGGCTGCCGAATAAATGTTTGTTCGCAGGTAACTTTTGTCGGTTGCGGTTGCTTCGCAAGCTTCTTTATGACCTCATCCTCTCGTTTTCGAAATTTGTTCGGGCCGAAAAGAAATTCGCGGAGCCCGAAGAATGTACGATACTGAGAAAAATTAGTGATACAAAGCAGGTGGCGATTAGCTGTCGAGTTTGCTGTACAACGGCTCACAGCAGCAGCTTGCAGTCGAAGTGTAGCAGAAATCATTTTGATCCGATGGTCATGAATGCTTCAATTTTGAATGTTTCTGTTACATTAACAGCTGCTCCAAAAAGACTTTCTGATTGGCTTAGCTATACTATAGTACTCACTGTGTATCGCACACAAGCCTGCCTAAATCATAACCGAACTCACCAAGTCCCGCGCAAACGACTCCTAACCGGACAAAATGGGCACTCGTGTGTATGTCGGCGGTCTTCCACGCGACGCCACTTCGCGTGAGATTCAAGACGGATTTAGTCGCTACGGGCACGTGTCCAACATTTGGGTCGCACGCAACCCGCCTGGTTTCGCTTTCGTGGTGAGTTGAGCTGCTTCTTTCCTCGCGGCGCGGGGCTCGCTCGCATGATGGCGCACGTTTATTCTCTTTCCTTCTCTCCACACATGATCTTCTCCACTTAGTCTCCCTACGATCACCATTATTAGAGCGACTTTGTCATGTCTGTCCAGGCCTGGCAGTGGCAACGTCTGTATGTTTTGTATGTGTGTATCCATGTTTTATTGAAACGTTGCAATTGGATCGCTGTCGCCAAGTCTTCGATGGGACGACAACTGTCTCGCCTCGTCGAACTCGTATATGCGACTTTTCATCTCCATAGTTCGAAGCTTCCGCTCAGTTACCGTCTTAAGGCTTCTATCATTGAGTGTGAGAGAGTGAGAGGTAGTGGTGAATGTCACCTTTGCTCAACGTGCCATCATGCTGCGTTTCGCCTCGCTTCGCGCGGCGCCTTCACGCCTGTATCCCGATTCAAAGTATATCAACCAACGTCTCTCCACTCGTCGTCTTCCCATATCTACTTCTCCCATCTCTTCTAGGACTTCGAAGACCCTCGTGACGCTGATGATGCTATTCGTTCCATGGATGGCCGAGACTTCCTCGGTGGACGGTAAAATTTCGACTATAATTTCTTCTTATCGTGATATATTAACGAAATGCGTGTTATGACCAGTATTCGTGTTGAACTCGCACGCGGTGGTAGCCGTCGCGATGGCCCTGGACGTCGTGGAGACGACGACCGCTTCAGTCGTGGCGGTGGCGACCGTTTTGAACGTGGTAAGTTTATTCATAAGCGCGTGACCACATCATTTCAAGTACTGAGTTTTACATATTATTAAATGCTTGGCTATCTTGTGCAGGGCGCAATCCGCCACAGCGCACTGATTACCGTGTGCGAGTAACGGATTTGCCACGTGATGTGGATTGGCGTAATGTGAAAGACTTTCTTCGCACGGGTGGCGAGGTCACCTATTGCAACATCGAGACTGATGGCTCAGCGTAAGCTATCTTTCTCTTACCATGCTATTGTAGCCACTAAAATTCTGTCTTTGTAGAATCGCTGAGTTTCAGACTAAAGATGATATGGAAGATGCTATCAAAAAGTTGGACGACACTGAGTTTCGTGGCAGCTATGTGCGTGTAGCTCCCGAGGGAGACTCAAGCCGTAACTCGCGCTCTCCTGATCGTGGCCGTTCTCCAGGCCGTCGCTCGCGATCGCGCTCCCCTGCTGCGCGAAAGGAATCTCCGCGCCGCTCGCGCTCCAGATCGGCCTCGCCTGCTACCGCTCTCTCACCCAAAAACTCAGAGTAATCTCCCGTCGATAGCACTTGGTAGTTTATGCGGAGTTTGCTTGTGGTGGACAGTGATATTGCTGCTTGTGGTGGACAGAGATATTGCTGCTTGTGGAGACAATAATAAGCTCATACCCAAAGATAATACTTCCATTACTGAATTTCTATCGTGCGTTTCCAATTTTCGCTCATTGTTGTGCCAAAGTTTGAGGATGGCATTTATTGTGGTAAATTCAGGAACTTCTCTTATCATAGGCGGCTAGTGACGGATTTGTGCTTTTTGAGTAGCGAATTGCAAATTCTTAGACATCGATTCCAACAACAGACAGATTAAATGATGCTGATGAAAATCTAAAAGCGCTTCCTGCATCACTCTACGTCTACTCAAGAACCCAATTGGCGAAAAACAGGAAAGCGATGACATAGTGCTGTAGTGCCGATTAGAATGGTTCGCTGGTATTTTAGTTAACACTGAACTCACCACAGCTATATCGCCAAAGCTGAAGAAGGCCAAGCTTAGTTTACGAAGCATGTTGTTGTCACACTTAAATGTCCTTACGCTGAAGTCCTGCCGGCATAAGACAATATGATGTGGTGAGTGAATTATAATAATAGCTTGAGAAACCATTAAATGCTTACGTACCAGGAGGAAGGGACTGTGTGAGCTTGTCGGCCTTCTCCGTGTCAGTAACACAAAGCGTATAGAGGTACTTGGAGCAGCGAATTTTAAATTTGACGACCTTGTCGCTCTTTTTAATCTTCACCGAGCGAGCATCCTTTCGGCGCGCTTTCTGGAGAAAGTCGCGGATATCGGTAATTTGCTTCGGCTGCAAAGGATACACGAATAAGTGATTGTTAGCCGTCTCGAAAATTGAAAGGCCTCATTGTTATCATGTCCAATGAATGTGTCGCATCACCGTACCATTTTGCTGCTTTGGTCTTCTAAACTCAACTAGTGAGTCTGTGATAAAGCGGAATCTGCGCACCATCGATTGGCGGGGAACGTCTCGAATTTTTTTTGTCCAAACCACAGATTAAGGATTTGGATTGGCTGAAAATTGGCTGCTAATGATTTCGAAAAGTTTAGACATGAGATGTGTACTTATCGTGAAGATTACCTGAAATTGTGATAAAGTGAAAAGACTCACATAACTGAGAAAGACATATATTTACAGCAAGCTGTGTTGCGTGCAATCTGAGGTGACTCCTGAACCCAAACATCTTTTTATACGGATACATCACAATGATCCGTCTACGGAGATATATTGGACTATTATTTATGAAACAGCGTATTAGAACTCTTACGGTGATTAGATATTCCAGCTGCAACAAGGTTGCCGTATATCTCTCATACCGATAGCCTTGTATTTTCGAGCTCTTGTCGACCGAGCCACAGAAGTTGGATTTGTACGCATCGCCCAGGTGAGGACTGCGAGTCTTACAAGAAAATTATAATTTGAGGTGTAACGGAGATACATGTACACTTGTATGAAAGGACGGGTGGTGTGACCGCACATAGGTGTGGATTACATAAGTTGGTGTAATCATACAATGGTGTGGCTACACCGTAACAACAAGCCACTATGAAACGGGGTTACACGTACCTTTGTAAGTAACGGCGGGTCGAACAAGATTGTGCGACTGGGGTCTTTATTGCACAGTTTATGTACTAACATAGTGGTATGGCTAAACCGTGACAAGACAAGAGTCATGCATATTACTATATAAATTAAGTTTTGCTATACTAACTAGGTATTACTATATCAATCAGGAAAACCACAAATTTTATATTTTGGCGGCTCTGCCGCAGCTACAACAGTTAGGTTTGATCGTTTGCCTTGGTAAGGCTTTAATACTTAGAAGTAGCGGATTGCGATCCACCCCCCTTGCACTGGTTCTTAGAAAGAATGTGAAGTCGGTGACCTCACATTCTTTGCTTCCTCTAAGCAACGAGCTACGGCAGCCCCTTGGTAGCACTTTTAGTCAATCTTCACCTGAGTCGTTACGACTGATCCTCTGTGAAGATGGAACAATACTCCTATTAGCCACAGGACATACAGGACGGGATCAATAAGGTGATATTCCTGCTTGGATCGAGGGCATATAACACTTTATTTCGCATGGTCCCGAGGCGATAAGCGCGCGCCTACAGGCGTTTTCAAATTTGAAAATGCTCTGTTTAGCACCTATAGCAGAATCTGTCAGCGTCGACAGCGTCCAAGACACCACCGTCGACAACGGATGATTTCTCCCGACTCAGGCCGCTCATGGTGAGCGTTAAGACCTTCGAGGGTAAGGATGGAGAAAATCTCCTGCTCTGGATGAG